TGGTACGAGAACAGAGAAGGCAGCCTGTTCACATGGACCAACTTTCACCAGCAGATGGTTGAAACTTTTGCCAATGTCGACAGACGTGACCCCACCCACCAACTACTAGAGCTAAGGGTCCAAAAACCCAATGAAACGGTCGCCATGTTCGCCGAAGACATGACACTATTATTTCGGAGGGCTGACCCGCAAATGACCGAAGATAGGAAGCTGCGCTACCTCATGCGTGGTGTGAAAGAGCAGCTGTTCACCAGACTTCTGCGCAACCCACCAAGCACTGTAGAGAACTTCATCAAAGAAGCGTCGGCTATCGAGCGGGCGCTTCACCAACGCTGCCAACAATATGACAGCTTGTGCAGCAGCCCCCAAATTCAGGCCACCGCTGTGACGTTTGACAGGCTCCTTGCGTGACATGATTAGAGAGATTATTCGGGAAGAACTGCAAAGGTTGCGGACTCCAGTAGTGGATACACCCACGGCATCTGCCGCTCAAGTCGTCCGCGACAAAATCTGCCAAGCATTCTCGACAGCTGATCCTGCCCCCGAGCAACGTCTCATGACGTACGCCGCCGCCCTTCGAAGCTCCCCACCCGCTCCGCCTTGATACTACCCGCCACCTGCAACTGTTCCTTGGTCACCACCACATGGGGAGACATCGTGGTGCCCACCCATCCAGCCCCCGTACGACCAGTCGTCTTCTGGCCTGCCATGGCCTTCGTCACGTGAGGAGTCATCACGGCATCCACAGCTTCGCCGAACAGACACCTGGTGCACTGTCGACAGGCGTCCACTCTGTTTTAACTGCGGAGATGTGGGCCACATAGCCCGCTATTGCTGGCACCGTGCTGATCCGTTTCGCCCTCTCAGGCCTCGGTTTGACAGTCGACATGCCAACAACTACGTATCCCGCCGTGGCGATGTCAATTCTCAAGGAAGAACCTCTGGTGCCTCGACCCCCATTCGACGGCCGCCGTAACAATGATGACGAGATTATAACTGATTACGAGCCGGACTTTCGACACTGACCACGCTCTCGTTCTTCTGCCCAGTCACCTTCGTTGCAGCGCCGCACTTTTGCCGACACCAGAGGAGCGAGGTCACCCAGCCCACACCGAGGAAACTGAAGGCGGCGACCTCAGGGCGTAAGGTTGCAGGCTGTCAAGACGAAGAAAAAAAGCCCCCATTACTCCCACCTCAGGACGCTGTAAAGCCGACAAGACGTAATACCGACGAAACTGTGACCCCAGGCCTTACCGTTCTTGAGGACGGACAGCAAGTCAAAGCTTTAGTCGACACCGGGGCTGACTTCTCTATTATCAGTGATGACCTTGCCGTACGCCTCAAGAAAGTAAAGACAGCGTGTACGAGACCTCACTTAAGGACGGCAGGCGGCCAATTACTGATGCCTGTCGGAATGTGCACAGCAAGCCTCGACATCCGTGGCTCTACTTTCGTGGCGACGTTCGTCGTTCTCGCTTCATGCTAAAGACCTGATTAACGGAATAGATTTCTTGACAGAACATGGCGCCGTCATCAACGTCCCTGACAGTGTCATTACGTTTCGCAACAACAGCCCTGCTTTAGTCGATTGTTCAGAGCCCAGACAAACGTCTCGTTCAGGGCCTTTGCGTCTGACGGATGACTATGTGGTCGTCCCGCCATGATTGTGTACGCTTGTTTCGGTGGCAGGGGATGAGCCGTTTGATGGCGACGGTATTGCCGACCAAATAAGCTCGCTGATATTTAGCCATGGTATTTCAGTTGCTCGAGGTCTAGTCACTGTCACTGCGGGACGCACAAGCTTGCTGCTCACTAACTTCAGTGCTGAGCGCCGACCCCTCACAAAGGATACAGCCGTCGCTTACTTTGACAATACTGCAGAAATCCAAGGCAGTTTATCGGCCCTAGACGAAGCACCTCAAGAAGAATCAGTACCTAATCTTGACGTTGGTACTACGTTGTCAGGGAACGAACGAACGAGACTTTTTGAGCTACTAGCTGAATTCCAGGACTGCTTTTCATCGACATCACGGGTCAGTCGAACGCCGCTAACAAAGCATCGAATAATTACCCACGACGCAGCAAGGCCTATACACCAGAATCCTTATCGTGTGGCTCCAAAGGAACGAGAAGTGATACAGCAACAAGTCGCTAAAATGCTTGAAGATGATGTTATTCAGCCATCACATAGCCCGTGGGCATCGCCTGTAGTACTAGTTAAGAAAAAGGACGGTACCCTGCGTTTTTGCGTGGACTACAGAGAGCTGAATCAAGTGACTAAGAAAGATGTGTATCCGCTTCCACGTATTGATGACTCCCTCAACAGGCTTCGAAACGCTTGATACTTTTCTTCAATGGACCTCAGAAGCGGATATTGGCAGATCGAGGTAGATCCAAGAGATCGGGAAAAAACCGCTTTTGTGACGCCGGATGGTTTATATGAATTTAAAGTTCTGCCCTTCGGCGAGCCATACATTCCGCGGGCCCCACATTGAAACCAGAGAAATGCCACTTTTGTTTTGAAGAAGTGCTGTTTCTTGGTCATGTCGTCAGCTGCACCGGCGTTCAACCTGATCCCGAAAAACTTGCAGCCGTGGCACAGTTCCCAGTACCGTCCGATAAGAAAGCTGTCAGGCGCTTTCTGGGCCTATGCGCCTACTATCGCCGGTTCATCGCCGACTTCGCACGGATTGCGTCGCCGTTAATTCGCCTCACTAGAGACGACGCCACCTTTGAGTGGAACGACGAACAGCAAGCAGCGTTTAATGACCTCCGCCGATGTCTTCAAACGCCTTCAGTGCTTGCTCACTTCGACGAGCAAGCGCCAACAATGCTTCACACTGACGCAAGCAATGTAGGCCTCGAAGCTGTGCTTGTGCAGTGGCAAGAAGACACGGAACGAGTGATCGCCTACGCAAGCAGGACGTTAACACGCGCTGAGGCCAATTATTCAACTGAGAAAGAATGCCTCGCCGTGGTCTGGGCAGTTACGAAATTTCGCCAGTATTTGTATGGCCGCCCTTTCAAAGTTATAAGTGACCATCATTCACCCTGTTGGTTGACTAATTTAAGAGATCGAACCAGCTGATTAGTGCGGTGGAGTCTGAAGTTACAAGATTTCGATATGACGGTCATACACAAGTCTGGGAAGTGCCATACCGAAGCCGACTGCCTGTCTCGATCACCAGTAGAGTCAGCTTCTTTTTCTGATGACGATATGGCCTTCCTTGGTGCTCTCGACGCGTCCACGATCGCCCAACAACGAGGCGACCCTCAATTATTTGATTTAATTAATTACGTGGACGGACGTTCTTCGAGGGCACCCAGAGTCTTTGCAAGGGCATTATCATCGTTTTGCTTACGCAATGGTGTCCTCTACAAAAGAAACTTTTCATTCATCGGAGCTCCCTCTTTGCTCATTATTCCTGTACCCCTTCGAACTGAAGTGCTTCAAGCATGTCACAACGAGCCGCCATCTGGCTATTCAGGCTACACTCGCACATTGGCAAGAGTACAGCTGGGATACTACTGGCCACAACTCACAACAGCCGTCAAGCACCACATTCACACTTGCCTCGATTGCCAGTGACGCAGGTCACCTCCGAAGAGACCCGCCGGTCAGCTGCAACCAGTTCAGGTTACACGTACACTGTTTGACCAGACAGGAATGAATATTTTGGGACCCCTTCCTATTTCTACTGCAGGGAATCGCTGGGTTATAGTCGCAACAGACTCCTAACCAGGTATGCCGAAACAAAAGCTATCCAAAAGGGCACCGCAGCAGAAGTGGCGAGATTTTTCATAGAATATATTGTGCTACGCCATGGTGCCCCGACTATCGTGATAACAGACCGCGGAACAGCATTTACGGCAGCTCTTTTAGACCACGCCCTGATGCTTAGTGGAACGACTCACCGTAAGACCACTGCGTACCACCCGCAAACAGATGGACTAACGGAGCGCCTCAATAAGACAATTGAAGACATGCTGTCGATGTACGTGGATGTCCAACATAAGAATTGGGACGAAATTTTACCCTATATCACGTTTGCATACAATACGGCTAAACATGAAACGACTCGCATGACTCCATTCTGCTTGGTTCACGGACGGGAGGTACGGACAATGCTGGATGCGATGTTGCCACATAAATGGAACGCTAACGACACAGGCGCTGATGTGTTCACTGAACGCGCAAAAAAAGCTAGGCAGCTCGCCCGCTTATGGCTCCGCCAGCGACAAGACTACGGCGCAGGCCGCTACAATGCTTGCCACAGAACTGTAATGTACAAAATCGGTGACAGAGTGTGGGTTTGGACACCCGTACGAAAAAAATGTGGACTGTCCGAGAAGCTGCTAAGGCGATATTTCGGGCCATACCGAGTATCACGCCAGCTAAGTGACGTCACCTACGAGGTCGTCTCCGACAGTCCCCAATGCCCGAGACGTCGCCAGCACCAGCCTGAACTTGTGCATGTAATACGTATGAAGCCATATGTGAGCGACTGACTGCCCGTTAAAAAAAAATACTGTGGGTCTGAATCAGCATTGGGGCGATGCTCCTATAAGGAGGGGCAAGTGACTCGTGTTTACATGAAAAAGAACGATGATAGGAATGTTTTGTAGATTTCAGCTTGTGGGTTAGGCGGTTTTCGGGACGACAACGAAGCAGGCGTCTTGCTGTACAGCTGATCTTGAACACGCTCTTTTCACTGCCGTAAGCTGCTGTCATTTTTTGTTCGCATTACACTGCGACAATATATATATATATATATATATACACACACACACACACACACACACACACACACACACACACACACACACACACACACACACACACACACACACACATATATATATTTTTAAAGGAGTGCCCAAAGCTACAGCAAAGTGAAAGAGGGCTCTGTAGCATTACGAACAAAGCCAGGGTTGAAAATTAGAAGCTGCTCAATGGGTGCATAGTCCGCCCCTGAAAGAAAAAGACTGACTGCTCACACCTTTTCTTGGGTGCATCCGAGTCTCCAGGCTAGGTACTTGCGCAGCACAATCTGCTTCACTTCTGCTATGCTCAGGGTGAATGGGTAATGGAGCGGCAGCTCCGACAAAATGTCCACACGCACTCCAGCAGGGCAGTCCAGAAACGAGAGCAGGTGGGCGGCAGTGTCAGTCTCGACCTCTATCACACTTCGTAGTTTCAGAGAGTAGGCGGGCTGGGTCATTAGCTCAACATACCTGCAGGCCAGCAAAAGGATGTTTGAAAGCAAAGCTTTTAAAATGCGTGGGAACAAATGCATGTCAAGGACGTTCAAGTGAAAACCAAACAGAAGGAATGGGCATCGAAGGGCATGTAATAAGAAGGCAGACTAACACCAGTAAAGACATATGCAAGGAAGGCAACTTTTTCGACTTGAAGGGCCAGTCAACAGGCTCCGGCTTTTTTTTTTTTTTTTTTCACCCCCAAAAATGCTCGGCAATTCCGTTGAAAAGACCACGGTGATCACGTTTTCCGACTATTGCAGCGCTGCGTGCTACTCAGAGCCTCAATTTTGAAAAACAATTCCTGGGCTCCTTTCTTATGCCTGACCAATCCTCCTTTCATGAGCAGCGACACAAAATCGCCGATAGGCGACTTGACGTAGCACGCAACTCTTCAATTGGTGTAAGCTGTTCACGACAATGGTCTAAGTCTCTCCTCCCTGTGAGAGAAAAGGGTAGCGAGGCCGTGCAAAAATTTGAAACCAGCGGAAATTGATGTTCCAACTCCTCTTCACATATCATATTTCTCTTTCAAAAAATTTTTGGACCTCGAAATTGTTTACTGGCCCTTTCGACTTAAGAAGCATCATGTGTTAGAACGAGAAGCAAGATGTGACACTTACTTTCTATGTGCCAACTTGATAAGCTGTTAAACCTATTTATTATTATCTCCTGCCAGAAAGACAGCACATGTAATAGTTGGCCGGATCCACAGAATCCCGTCTCTCAACTTTGACAAATATCAATCATGCCCTTGTTACACGAGCTCGCTTCCAACTGTGACTTGCTTCCGACCCATGTAAGGATAACTTTTTGCATGAGGCAAGTCACGTGGCACTAAAGTTCACGATTAAAAATATAAATGGTAAGTGAGGTTTCTCGTAACTGAGGTTAGCATGCCTGTGTAACAAGGGCATTAGTCTGCCATCTTATTACAAGCCTTCCGATGCCCCTTCCTCCATCGTTATTTTGACTGAAACATTTTTAACATGCATTTGTTCCCTCACCCACTCTTCTTTGTTCTAGTTCTTTAAGGTTCAATTTCTTTTACGGGGATTCAGTTCAGTTCTAAAGTCAGTACATCACCATCAGTACATTCAGTACATCAGTACATTCTAAGTTCAGCACATCACCACTGAGTATCAAGGGTCCTACTTTTATTAAAACTGTATATAGACATTCAGAACTGCATGCTCGCCACCGCTGTCACGTTCCGTATAGCCTAAATTGATACTGCACGACACGTCATATGCTGTATGTGCGAGAGAAAGCCCTAGAGGGCAGCCAGCAATCGCTGCTCTAGCAGAGAAGAAACGCGCCAGCCAACTGCGTCGGGGGAAAGGCACATAAAGGGGTCTTGAAGGGGTCTGCCCTGCTCCGGTAGAAAACGTACGCCTTGATCGGACAGGAAGGGCCAGCCATGTTACATGAATTTATCTTTAGAGGGGTCAGAAGATGGTTGGAACCTTTATAATGATATCTGAGGTTTTACCCCACCAAAAGCAGGTATGATTATGAGGGACACCATGAAGGAGGGCTCTGGAAATTTCCGCAATGCTGTGGTTTGCAACGTGCACTGGCATGGTGTTCATTAATTGCACGTTACATGGGTCTCTACCACATCACCTGCACCAAAATGTGACTGCCACAGCCGAGATCGAACTTGCGACCTCTTGGTAAGCACATAACCCTTGGATCAACCGTGACGAACACCTTTGTACATGATGTACTCACATCATAAAGTTAGTGTTTCAAGCCATGGGCACCACGAGGGTGGCTTTGCTTACTGCAGTGGCCCCGTTTTCTTATGCCAGCATTTCGATGAGTGACGCACAATTGCATGCTAAAGCAGTGAGCCACTAGCCTTACTTTGTGTAACATTTCCATTTGCTGCTATCTCACTTGCTGTTTCTCCCTTGCTCCAAAACTGTGGCTTCTTCTATAAGAAGTAACCATATGAAGGTACAAGATAACAAAGCTGCGAAGAGCACGAGGGGACATTACTTGCTGCTTTTCGACAAGGTATGGTAATTACAAGATAAGAAACGAAAGTGAACAAAAAGAACTAATGCTCTATGGGCTGCCATTTGACCAAGAAACCCCCGTATGGTACCAAAAGGCATGAAATATGGTGCAGTCGTGTCATATGCTGCGTCACTGTCACTATTCACAGTATACAGCAAATCAATCCATTCTTCGCCTTATGGGGGGCACTTGAGAGCAATCGCCATCACACTTTGTTGGTTAATAAATATCACAGTAGCATACATACGGCATTACAGGACGAGTGATATTCGACATGAGAGTCTACATCACCACAGAGTATCTACAAACAACATTGACATGCAAGTGACAACCTCAGTCATATTGTTTTTGCATTAAGTTTAACTTTGAAGCTACACAGGAAGTCATTTAAAGCAAAGATAAATAAAAGGCATGAAAATACAAGCAAAATACAATTATTGCCGTACGGACACTCATGTGAGGATTAATGATTCTTTAGCAGCAAAGCACTGTAAAGAACTCTGAGCACTGAAAAGGCTTTCCTTGTCTGTATGCTCTCAGAGCGCTACCAAGCAGCCTTCTGTAAAATATCCCTATGGGGGACAAGTAATGGATAGATGGCGTTCCGAAAAAGAGCACTTGGCGGAGAGTCGCGATGCAACTCAGCTGCTCACGCACAGACGACTGGCCCCAGTGTACCACTCTGAGAGCACGTGCATGCGCCGCTGCCACGCTTTATTTTGAAACGAACAGCTTGAAAAGCCATGCACTGTGGTTTAGAAAAATAACTTTGTCTGAATGCTACACTCACATAAAAAGCACTAAAAAAATGGAAAGAAGCCTGCAAAGCGTACTGCGTCTATGCATCAAAGGGACAGCGCTGTGCCGTGATGGCAACTCCCTCGTCCTCATTTCCTGGTTGCGTGCTGAATTTTGGGCTAATGCTAGTGCTGTCTGATATGCCCCCATTGATAAGTCCGTGTTGTGACGATACCACGCTGCCAACATCTGCAGTAAAACAAAATGAAACAGAGTAAGTTGCCGCTGCGTCAATTTTTTTTTTTCTGGCATCATTTGTACGCCCAGTCCGCGGCATGTATGCATGGGGACGTTCATCAAGCAAACCACCGTGGCAGCATTGCACGTGTGGTGTCACGCTGCTATTCTTGAGGGCGCGGGATAGATTAGCGCCCACGGAAGCCGCACTTCGATGGAGTGAAATATAAAAAGAACACCTGCGAACCAAGATATATGTGCATGCTGGAGAACCGCAAGCGGAGACAATCTTGATATGCAAGCTACAGCGTACCTCAAGATGATATCTTGTTTGGCACAAGAAAGCCTAGCAATTATCGATGTTGAACAGACACCTTCATTTTAGGCCGACACAGGCAAGCGGAAAAACTGAAACTGTGTGTTAGACGACCTAAATAACGAGCGAAAATCAAAGACATTTGATACTGCTCTAGCAAGGCATAAGTTTTGATGTTACTTAGCTACGGCAGCCTGTGATAAAAATGCTTACCGCATCGGCTGACTTAAGAAAGCTAAGCTTCGAGTAGTCCGCTGCTTTGTTCGTAACAAGAACCCTGTCTTTTGCACAAATTAAGTTCAAGAGAAGGATCTCGGCATCGAGTGTTCACCGCTAGAGTATCTTTTATAACAGCTCACAGGCGTAGGTAAAAGTGGCTCCGCACAAAGCTTGTGGACAAGGCAGCTTTACTTTACACGCAAATGTTTACAAAAAAAAAAAGACTACCTTCCCATCGTATCATTCACTTCATGCGGTGGCATCAGATAGAGTTTGGTGGTGGTATTCAGACGGATGGACGCTTGGAAACTGTTAGTTTTGAAGTGCACGACTGAATGCTCAGCGGGCCAGATAAAAGAAAAAAAGATGACATATGCCGTATGTTGCATGATACGCTGGTTTTATTTCCGGCAAAACGCCGTTTACACTCGACTGTATGGCCCTGGTTTCCACTGGTGGCTGTCTTCACTATCGAACAAATATAGCAGACACGCGCCATTCGGTTTAGAAACGAGCCCGACAGCACTAGACAGAAGAGTGCGAGAGCAGAATTTTGCTTGCCTGACCGCTTGGATGCAACACTGCCGCCTCTTTCCATGTCCTCCCTTTCCTCTATACGTTATAGTTTTATATATTGTTGCACTTGAATACGCAGCACTACTGCCAGCGTTCTTCGGTTTTGTTACGATGCTGCTCGTACGCACCGCCTCTACCAGCCGCCACTCTCGTCTGCGGGAGCAATTGAGAAGTGCTCGCTCTCGCCGCCAGGGTGGTAGTGGAAACAACAGCGCTGCTTCCCTATACATGGCTTGCACGTGACGTCATGAAAGCAGCTTCTGAAAGGAACTGGAGCTCTGTCATGGCGGTTTTGACGAGAAACAAGTTGCGTCTATGTGGAAATGACGCAGCATGAGCATTTCTGTGTGTGGATAATGAACGATCCCGCATGTAATGTTTTGATAACATTATTGCAACATCAGAATCGTTGCATCCCTGCATGCAGGTTCTCCAACAAGGCACTTTCAGCGACGTCAGTGCAAGCCATCTATTAGACAAAAAACAACGTTATTCAGATGCACATTTGTAACATCACAAGTAATAGTTTTAAGTAAACCGAGGGCTAACTGTTCAAGAATAGGTGTTGATTCATTCACTTAATACATTTACTTAAATTCGACACCTGTACCCTGAAGACTGCCGAGACTGCTACTGAGAGTGTCTTGCAGTTTCAACATACTGTTACCACTTTTACTAGCCCTTAATCCACAGGGGCCGCTCTGCACAAGAGCTTGACTGCGCCAAGACAAGCGAAGATGTAAACAAGCATGTATATCACTTTATAAGCAACATCTTGACAGTAAACTTTCATACTTCACTGTGTCTATTGAATGTGGTGTACGCCATCAAGAAGACACGCTGAAAGCATGCCAATGTAACACCCTGAGACACAAAAGAAACGGCCCAAAACTGTTTTCTTTCTCGTGAGGTCTTGCTGCACGAACTAACAGGGGAGGCAGCGCGATGAATTAACATAAAAGCAATGACAGCAAGCATATCTAACACAACGTTGGAATCTAAAAATCGCAAACCTTGCCCGAGTTGGCATAGGTGTTCTGTGGTTGGCAGGTGACAAGATAACGACCTCCATTGCCTGAGTAAGTCTGCGTCAAGATCAAGAGGATTGCAGTGCGGTACGTTGCGCTGAGTGAAATGCACAAACGACTGACGGAGGACAGGACATGAGGTGCGCAACCACTTGTACCGCAAGTGGTTTGTGCACTTTGCTCAGCGCAACCACATTACAATCACTAGCCAATATTGAAGCTTTGCTCATCGAGAGGATGTTCATGTACGGCAGCACACCGACGAGATATATGGGCAGAGAGCTGCATAATTAAATACGCGTGTGTTCCGTTTAGAAACAAGTTAGCCGGGCAGACACGAACGCAAAGCGCTAGCGATACTGGTGCTAGGTTGGTTGCAGGTGCCAAGTGTTGACAGCGGGCGAACTGCGCACCCCATAGGGACACGAATCCCAACCACACAGGCACCTGCTGTAACCGTAGCGGTCAAGACCCTTACCTAACGATTCTAGCGGGCGTAACCTTCTTGATGCCGCACTCCTCGAGGTTCCTGTAGCGCTGCTCGGCCGTGCCAAACTGAAAACTGAGGATCTCTGGGTGTCGCATAATTTCGCGCACGGGAAACAACGACTTCAGCATGCCGACATTCTTCAACAGGGTCTCGCGTCGGATGCTCAGGATCTTCCGGTTGCTCATCACAATGCTCGTTGCGCTCGCCAGCGAGCAACCGAGCGACTCCGTCAGGAGCTGGACGCGGGCGCGCGACTGCACGCTCAGGCTGCCCTCAGGTTCCTCGATCAGGCTGAAGTCGTCGTCGTCGCGATCTTCGACTCTCGACAGTACAGTATACGGCTGCTCGTGCTGCAGCTCCTCTTTGCGTTTCTTGGTGGCAGCAGATCGTCTCCTAGTCGAGGAAGAAGAGCGATCAGTTGGAAGTGATGCCCCTGTTACCCTTGACGCAGCGGCCGCAGAAGCACCGCGGGCCAGTTTCCAGCACGACCTGCCACCGACCCTGAAACTATTTAGCAACATTGCTGCACCTTTGCTCGGTAGCGTAAAGTGTTGGGACGCGGACTCAGCCGCTACATAATGAATGAATGAACAGCGCTCACCGCGGGACAACAAAAACCACCATAGCAAAACTATGTATCACCACAGCGAACTGCGAAAGCTGCAATAACTACCGGTCGCCATGTGAGCCATGTGCGCTTCGGCGCGGCCCTGGATTGCACGCACCATTACGCCACCACGCTCTCCCTAAATTTTTCCGCATCGTGAAGTTAAATAATCACTTGCGCCATCTCGCCATCCCAAAGTATAGCACAACTTTTGGCGCGGAACTTGAATTTACCGGTAATAGAGGCTTTTAATTGCATTTGTCCCCAAAGTCCTTAGCTCAGGAGCTCACTTCTGGCCGACCAGCAATGGACCGTCCAGCAGGCCCACGAAGCGTCTTTTTCTGCCGGTTCTACGTGGCAGACGCACGCTATGCAGTAAGCGCGTCTTGCAGGACCAAAATAAAGTTTTTTTTTTTTTTTTTCATTCCATTCATTCCAAAGTATTTTGGGCTTGAACGTCCCTAACAACAGCAAGTGCCAATACACTGCTAGGGTTTTTTTTAAAAATAACACTTTTTACTAGCGAAGCTGTTTAAGCTTAAAGTTGTGCCGGCCGTCGTTTCAGTAAACTCGGCATGTGTGCATTACGGAAAAGTGGGTGTGCCAAGCAGCTCTTCGAATAGCCAACCAGATATAAGTAAGGGGTGAAAAAGGAAAGTGAGGATAAGGAGGAAGCAAAGGATGATAGTAAAGCGTGGCCATAGAGTTTTATACACTAATAAGAATGGCCTTGTTAGGCGGGTATTGTTGCACAATCAATCGGATAAACACAGGAGGGAAAAGACAAAGTAAAAGAGCGCAAACTATCAAGTGACTATTTGGCCACTGCATATATATGCACTTTTTCACACGTTTCAAATAAATCAAAACAGGATCAAGGAAGAGAGAAAAAAAAAAGAAAACACAAGTTAAGTTCTTCTCACGTGTACAAAATCTGCACAAAATTCGCTTGCATAGCTGTTGCCCATTTCTCAATTAAAAAAATCACAGTTTTGCACAAGGTCGAAGCAATGAATGCATAGCAACACATTGGGCTGTTATACAAAGTAATCAAAAAGTTAGGAGATTTAGGAACCAGAAATGTAGTCAGCATGGTCGATGGTGGTTGAATCGACAGTAATGGAGTAACCACAAAACCTAAACAGGTGTTGTGAATAGTTGACGGTATGCGTGGTGTCTGACAGGAGGCGAGGTCCAAGATGCACATCGAGAAACAAGAGAAGCCACTGGTTTTTACGTTGTATTAACATTCAAGTACCCAGTGGCTAACACCAGCACATCCAGTTGGCACACTGCACGGAAGTTGTGCAGCAAGAAGTTCATGACATCAGTCCGCAAGGTTCCTGGTGAGATATACATGTGCACTGTTGCAACGATGAAGCTGTGCGATGTTTCAATGGCGCAAGCGTCACCACAACTCATCGGGGGAAGCGAGTAGAGTATGTCCATCTAAAGTGAAGTGGTGGTGCACATTTCGATGAGAAAAAAATTTACAGGCATGGCCTGCCATGCCTATGAATTTCTAGGATCAGCAACTTCTCGAATAGTCCTGGACTTCATTGATGCGAACAATTTTTTCTGTTGTTTCAGAGTGAAAGTGGAGCCAGATACATTTTGTAATGCCCCTTTGATCCAACTATATGTGCTTCAGTGAACCCACCCCATTGATCAAACCATCGGACACGTCAATGTTTAGGGAAAGCAATTAGATGGCTTGTCTTACAAAGTACTACATACTTTGTTCAAAAATGTTTCTTTCAGGTCCATTGACAGTAACCCAGTGGTAAATGGTGTATATACGTACATAGCTTACCGTTAGTGAGATGGACACGTAGTATGAGTGGCGTGACCTTTTTTGTTTTTAAAAAGCTTTCTAAAATTCGCCTGCGATGCCATCAGGGCCAGGTGTTTTCAATACAGGTGTCAGCTGCCTACTCGATTTCCTGTATAGTAATGGGTCGACTAATGACTGCACAATCATCGTCCTTCAAGGGGTTAACAAGAGAAACAAAACTAACCTTTAGGTGAACGTCAGGATCATCAGAAAGAGAGAGCTAAATAAACTGTCATAGTAGTACTTTTCGAACATCAAAGTAATGTCTCTTGTATCTGTTATGAGCACACCGTTAAGAGTAAATAAGTTTGGAATCACTTTATAAATTCAATGGCATTGCTCATCAAGCAAAGCTTGGTGCATCGATTGCTCAGAATTTAAGGTGCGCCGGTGCCGAGATCTAATACGTGCCCCTTTGTAGCGAGCAGCATTGTATCCTTGAATTTCATATTTTTTATTTGATTCATGTACATTCCTGGCATTTCGTATTCTATTTCATAAAGATTGCAAAGACTTTTTTTAAGCAGTGTCTTTTCTTCATTCCTTCTATAGTAAGACCCAACAGCTCCAATTTAGTAGCTACACAGTCTAACCCCTCTATAAGAGATACTGATATAGGAGACAAATGGATATAAGAGACACCAGCGTGCCTACAGTAAAATACGGGTTGATAAGAAAATGCCTACATTGTGCCCTGCTATAAAAGACATCTCATATAAGAGACTAGAATTGCTGCCAAGGGCGTGCCTCCTATAAAGGGGTTTAACTGTAGCAAGAACTTTTTATTTAAAAAACTCCCAAGCAGCGAATATATGCAAACCGATTGAAAAAGATTGCCTCATTGCCATCTGAACATGATGCATGAATTCCTGATCACAGAGGAGCTTTGAGCTCATTTTCCAAAGGGTCTACTGTGGGTGGAATTGTTTGTGATGATTTTCACCAATTTGTGCTATAACAATACAATGGTCTGAGAATGCCACTGCTTCAGTGCTGCAGGGCATTTTATGAGAGAGGAGTGATGAGGACACGTAAAACAGCCAAGGAAAGCATAAAAGCTGCCCCAAACTCTTGTATATGCCATAGCCTGATTCGAGACACCAATGTTAATAAGTCCTGCATTATCTACAGTACTGAATAAAAGTTTGCCCCTTCTGTCTCTCTTGCCAATAGGATTGTTGCGATAATTAGCATCACATACGCAGTTGAAATCTCCCATAAGTACAGTGCATTTGTCTGCGTCAATTAAATTTTACACTTTTTTAAATATTTAAAGTCATTTCGTAACCACATTAAACAAATATATATTGATAATTCGCCATGGTGCTCCTCGCAACAAAAAATTACAGCATATATATCTACCCTCGTCATTCACACTAGTGTGGATTGCTGAACAGGGTAAGCTCGGTCTTTCTCAGAAACAGCAAACAGCTTGCAGATAAACCTTTTGCATGTGAAACACACACATTATACTCAGACAGAAAAGGTCAAAGCGCCTTTCCAGTCTCCATCTTTGTCTCCTGGAGGGCGACAAAGTCGACCTGCTTTCGATTGAAAAGTCTACAGAGCTGCGTCTTTTTCTGCGAAGACTTAATGCCGCGTACGTTCAAGGTAGCAAAGATAAGTGGCTCAGACTATGCAATAAAGACTACCTTCTATTGTGCTTATTGTCCCGCTTGATCAGTCCCGAGGTTCGATAGTGAGGCTTCCCGTGAGTCCCATTAGGCCTTCTAGATCGGGATCCCCGAAACTTCCTTTTGGGAATTGACTTCGGCTTTCTCCCATATTGCTGGATGTTTTTCAAGTAAGTTACAACATGGAGACACTCCCATGATCTCTTTGCAAAAGCCACACTGTATTAATACTGAAAAGAACTGAAAAGGAAAAAGTTCACTTGGTTGAGGGCTACAAACCAATATCGCTGTCAAATGTGGACTACAAAACTTTTGAAAAAGTATTATCAAATATGTTGCAATTTGCAATGTCAATCATTATTAGGTCTATTGCAAGATTAGTACATTTGCGTTAAAACAATTTACTTACAAAAGTGAAGCCTTCCTACATGTACAAACTACTGACTGTAATTAGTACAATAAGACTAGAAGGACTGTTATCTAAAAAAAAAAAAACTTGTAGTTGCTTTCATTATTACTTTTTCTAACTCGATCCACAACAGTTAGGAACTATTTTGTGGAATCTATCATTGTAATCTCAAAAAATAGTTTATTAGAATATTTCGATTATGCAGTGTTGATGCATTGCAATTATTCAGCGTCTTCGAATTATATACACAGCACTCACCTTTCAATCCGCATAACCACTGCATACTTTTACAGTGAAAATGTAAATATGCATCTCTACTGCTGGCCATTTTTTTCCCCCTCCGAAAGACAGCAAAAGTTATATCTTGACGCACACTTTGAAAAAGTTGCAATATTTTTACCAAAATGCAGCATGATGTAGCAGCTTTCAAAACTTGTCAGAGTTTGGTGCAATCAATGTAGCTCTGACATCACTCGATTTGGTATTGAGCTGCTCATGGTTACTAGTCTCTATCAACCACCCGTTCACTGATTCACGGTACTGTCGATCCTATGAAGAATGACAAACGTAGCTTTGCAGCTGAAGAAAGCACAAGTTTTCACAAGGCATAAGCATACTGTAGAATTCTGATATGTATAATCACATTAATCCTACGAACTACAAATGTAATGCATCACGTGCAACATGACCATCGAAAATAGCATACCTTTAGTGTTAATACGGAGAAGCTCTTGCATTAAGTACATACACATCTCATCTTTACACTAAATGCCATGAGTGTATGGAAAAATGGCCCATATTCTGTGTATATACACAAGGTAGGTAAAACTTGTACAGTTTCGTATATTACAGTGCCACAATTATAGATGTTGTAGGATGAAGCTCTACGGAGCTGTAAAAGCTTACCGATGGTCCATGACAGGTAAGCAGAAATAGTCATGATCATTAGAAACCAGCACACACACACTCTCTTCGTGCTCTTTCTCTACCACTTTACTCGCACAAAGCATGTGCCGATTAGTCCAGGGTGATGTGCAAAAACTCTGACGGGTGAAAGAACAACTACGGAGAGAGAAAAATGTAGAGTGTCAAAAAATGCAAATTCTAGTTAAAAATTTTTTCACCTGTGTGCCCATGATCTGTAGTCAACCGTTCTAACAAATTGGATATGTAGGGACACTATAGCACAGCCTAGCACAGCCTTGTGTGGTATAGTGTAGCAAAGGGGTGGGAAAGGAAACTGAGGGTCGATGTGAGGAGCATTAATGGAAAGGGAGAGGAGCTTGTAAGCCATGAGAGAGGGAGACAGAAAGGAAAAGGGAATGAGAAATGGAGAGGGAGAAAAGTAGAGGAAGTGCGTGAGAAATGCAGAGACAGAAAGGGAAGAAGAAGAAGGAGAAATCAGTAGAAATAAAGAGACAGAAAAACCAAAAGTAAGAGAGAAAGAAAGCAAACATTAAAAGGGAATGAAAAAGGCTGCGCAGCTCCACATATCTTTTGGCAATGTGAGTGCGAAGCTGCCCTAATATTTTTTCAACAATTTACATTTTCAGGATTGTTCAACTAGCAACTTTTAGGTTTGGGCTGAGTGTTGTAAGCAGTCACACCGGTAGGTTCAATAATCAGTAGAACACACAAAGTGACAGATTATTAAGCACAGAAACAACTTAGCCTATGTTCGTTAGGACATAGGTTTAGTGATCCTTAAAAGCACTTAACTGTAAACTTCACTTTAAATCAAGGTAGAATTATTTTTGAATTTTCCTGCAACCCTTACTGTTTCCCCCTCATGAATGACCTAAATTTGAACGTCAAGGAGATATATACTGAACAAAATTTTTGCTACCAGGATTTCAAGTCAAATTGAAAGGTTTTGAACTTCAAAGGGACATACATATATATATATATATATATATCGAGCAAAATTTTTGCCACCAGGATTTTAGGTCAAACTAAAAGATTCGGTGTTGAAATCGATAGACACAACCTTCAGTTCGAGTAGAAACTAGAGAAAAAATATAGGAGACCCATAACCTTCACTTTTATAGATGAACACAATAGCGATATGCTGTGGCAAGTGCATACTTCCACCACTTAGCACTTACTACTTATCGTATGATGCTATGCGAGAAGTCATTAAATTGTGGATTACTGGAATGTAAACGACAAAGTTAAAAGTGGCTTGTGTCAGTGCAGCTCCCGCATATGATCTCGTTCTGTGTAATGGGTAGCATGCTTTAAACCATGAGCAATTATGTGCATGAAATGTTTTGGAAATTGCTACGCACCCACTACGTGGTTTTAAGAATACACGCAGTATTGTGTGTGCCATTTGTCACTATTGTACTTGATTTGCATATACGGATGCACGAAGGACACAAAAAAAGAGAGAGAGCAAGCTGGCAACTGAAACCTAGAGGGGCACAACGCTTGCTTACTCTTTTGGGAGAAGGAAGGAAATGGGAGAAAAGGAGACAGGAGGGGAGAAAGGAAATAAAAGAGGGAACAAAACAAAAAATGACTAAGACCTAGACAAGCATAACTAAACTAGAAAAAAAAAAAAACGCCTGTAGATGGGTGGCCAGGTCTGTTTGGTCGATAAATGTCAGCAGAGCACGACAGGCCTGGTCACGTCCAAAAACACCTCATCTCGGAAAGAGCTAATCGTCTACGGTCACACACTTTAGTCTCAGGAATTTATATTCCTTAATCAGCAAAGCCTGCTGCGTAGTGAATATGGGCAGTGTACTATTCGATGCTCAAGTTTTTTGCAGGAGCCATGCGCACAACAGACTGTCAACACGCCCTTGATGGTTAAATCGTTCGTGCAACAAGACAGAGTTTATGTAGCAGTGCTCTGGAACAACGAGGCAAGCCAAAGCCATGAACATTGGGAGGGAACGATGTGCTCGACAACTGCGGTCATGCCCGATGGCAATGTACGCTTGTACCATGCAATGTTACTGCCATATTACTTGCATTGTGAAGCCTGTATGCAGGACATGCGTGTCTCTAAAGCAGGAAAGTTATTTTCAATGCGTTTCCAAGCAGGAGAACTTATTTTCAGGGTATTTCCAAGCAGGCACATGGTGAAGTGGCCCAACATCTGCTTGCCACGCAAACTGCTTGCGTTTGATCTTCATTTGTACCAGATTTTTTTATTTGTATCTTTCACAGACAGAAGTGCTTAACAGCGCACATGACAAGAGGGGATATAAAAGACAAGAACAGAGCGCTGTGCAGCGCTCTGTTCTCGTTTTTTTTATAAACTCCCGTCGTTTGCACTGTTAAGCACTTTTTCGTCTACCATGCAGCACCAACCAGCCCAATCAAGCACTTTGTTAGAATATTTTGCAATGTTGTAGTTACAAACAAGATGGTTTTTTGCTCACAACCAACAATGCAGTCTCCAACATTTCTGTGAAGTAAGCTCTTTAACCCTTTTGCATTAAAATAATGAATTTAACGAGTTTTCCACTAGCCTCATTTTCCAGCCTTGCCGTAAACTAGAAGAGACAACATTGCACTTGCTGTAAACAGACATTCAGAAAATGACAGCCAAGGTCAAGATCTTTCAACCCGCCTAGCTCTCACTATGGTTTTCAGAATGGCTACAGCAGCAAGCGATGCTCCCGGCTCGTGTAAGACCACTAAAGCATCAGCACTTTTGCTGAAAGACAGAGTGGAATGAAAGTAGGTGGCAAGGGTTCCACAGGAGCCCATGAACCATGCATGTGCCTGAAAGAACACAATGTCTTGACTCACGCACACCCGCACGCATGGACAAGTCACCACAAATGCCACTACTTTTCAGAAATCGCGTGACGCAAGCTCATCACTGTGGCCAAACGAAACGGCACGAACAACTACAAGCAACGCAACTGTGAGCATGACATGCTTGCTTAATTGACTTTCTTCGGAGTCCATGCAGCACCCTGACCAAATAAAGATGCATACAAGGCGATGATAAACAGTTTATTGTCACTTGTCCATAATAAAAATCTAATATAAAAAAGAAAACTACATAGAAATGAACAATTCACGGTGATCTGATGACATGCAACATGATACTAACAATAAACCTGTTACGACGACCATATCGCACCTATTGTTCTCTCACCAACGGTTGCGACCACCCCCACCGCCCCCCCAACCTCCACCACCTCTTCCTCCTTGTCGGAATCCACCGCCGCGGCTGCCACGATCCATGCCAAAGCTGCGCTCTTCCTCGGCTTGTCGCTCTTTCCAGGCTGCGAAACGGTCAGCCATCGCATAGAGCTCAGCGGGGACCTCTTGGCTGGCTTCTTCCAGGATATTGGCGAGCTCACGAGCCTGCCTCCAGTTGTTGCGAGTGATAAGCGTGATGGCCACCCCTGTGCGTCCAGCTCGACCTGTACGACCCACACGGTGAATGTACTCTTCCACGTTGCGAGGGAAGTCATAGTTGAAGATGTGCGTCACGTCTTTGATGTCCAAACCTCGGGCAGCGACGTCCGTGGCAATCAAGATACGCACTCTTCCACTCCGTAGGTCTTCCAGCGCTTGCTCGCGATCACATTGTTCCCTGGAGCCGTGGATGGAATCGCAGTTGATGCCGGACAGCACTAAGTCGCTCGTCAAGTGGTCCACCATCGCCTTCCGGTCGACGAAGACTATGACCTTGTCATCAGGTAGCATCGAGTCAAAGAAGGCTAACAGGTGGTCCCTCTTATCCTCTTCTGCGCAGACGACGACTTTCTGAGTCACTGTGTGCACTGCGGCCAGATCCAAAGTACCAATGAACACCTGGAACGGGTTCGTCATGTACTGGTCAGTGAGGCGACGCACACCTTCTGGCCAGGTGGCACTGGTCATGACAGTCTGCCGGTCGGGCCTTATGTCCAGCATCACCTTCTTGATCTGGATCTCAAAGCCCATGTCGAGCATGCGATCTGCTTCATCCAGGACCAGGAATGTAACGAAGTTTAGGTTAATAATATTGTTCAAGACCAGGTCATTGAGGCGGCCGGGAGTAGCGATGACAATCTCCACGCCGAGGTTCACGGTCTGTACCTGCTCCCTGCGACTGCCCCCACCGTAGATGCACGCGCATCTGATGCCTCGGTAGTTGTACTTTTGGCTTCGCGCTCGATCTGTTGAGCGAGCTCGCGTGTCGGAGCGAGAATCAAACAGGACGGCCCTTTCCTCTCTTCCCTTGGAACTGGCTGGCTGTCGATGTGAATCATGGCTGGCAGTAGGAAGGCCAGCGTCTTTCCCGTACCCGTCTGTGCGATGCCGATCAGGTCTTGACCCTGGAGAAGTATCGGCCAGGCCTGACTCTGAATCGGGGTTGGCTTCTCGAACTGGTTCTTGTAGATCTCGTCCAAGATTTCCGGGAAGTTGGAAAACGCCTCCTCGAACGTTCTCACGGGATTGGTTCTCACATCCAATGGCGGCTCACCTTCCGGTCCCAGATACTTGATGACTATATTATTGCTTTCTGCCCTGAAGACTGCTACCTCAGCCGCAGACATGCAGGCAACGCGAGGATCTTCGACGTAAAAGCTTTTCACTATCGGCGCAAGTGAGGCCCAACGTTTCTTGGTTTCTTCGTCGCTCCTGGCAAGCAGCTTAGCCCAGTCGATCAGAGGCGGCGGGTCTGCGCTTTTGCTCGGGCAAGGTGGTTCTTCAGGCGGTTTGACGATAGCGTCGATGAGCTCGCGAGCTTTGCGACGCGCCTCTTCCGGGCCAGAGACCTGGACCTTGGTTTCGTAAAAATTGTTATCTCCATCGTCCTTCTTTATCCAGATTCGCGCACCGCTGGAATCCTGGAGTTCACGAATCCTGGAGCCGCCTCTGCCAATGATTCTAGCTACGTCCTTGGATGGCACCATGAACTCTTCGAAATCGCGGCGCGGCGCGTTCGGTCTGTCACAGCTGCCTCGGCCACGGCCCCGACCTGCAGATGCTTCACCACCGCCGGTTCGTTCGCCGTAATGCCTGTATTCCGTAGGCATCTGCGGAGGAGGTACATACGCATCCTCGATCCATTCGTAATCGTCATTTGACGAAGCGGCGTTCATAATCAAGGACAGCGTTCTGCGACTCGTACGTTAATCAAGATGACTGCGATGGTGCCCGTCAAATAAGGGAGGCCCAGGGGTCACCAGTGAGCCCGTTCAAGCTAAGCGCGACAGCAATACTTCCAGGAAAAGTTTCCAACGCCGCTGAACTCGCTCGAACTACTAACGTGAAGAGACCACGACAGTTTGAACGGCAAGGCACAGAATACCTGCCAAGGGTGCTGCGCTACGAAAATATGTACCAGCGAGCGCCGGTGATATACTCACCCATCCAATCAAATTCGTTAGAACTCACACGTGACCCCTCAGAGGACGAGCTGAGTGTGCGCTTCGAAACAAAATAGTTAAGTTTTTCATACAGCCTTAAAATATTCGGACACTTGTCGATTTGCGCGCCTCTTGTAGCTGGTTACAAACAACTTATACACAAATCAATGTCAAACAGTCAAAGCCTTTAAATTCATGTTTATATTGCTGTGCAGATGGCGCTACAACAATTGTAATTTTGAATTGTAAGACGATGCCTTGGTGCCGAAGTATTCGACATGTGCGTTGCATTGATTATGTTCAATAGTTTGGCTGGGACCCTAATCTACCTTTAAAAGCCCGTAAATCGGGCGTACGTATAGTCGAGCAAAGCATATTGTTAATCTCTTTCGTTCGCCGCGCGTTCTGCTTTTGTGACACTTAAGCTATCAATGCATACGACCAATGCGTACCTACCTTGGTTTTACCACTATGGTTTCGTCTCGTTCGCGCGCTGCCGTGAAACGCCGAGTGCGTCTCGATGTAGAGGAGAGGGTGGGGGAGACAAACTTTTTTTTTTCTTTTCTGCGTTTCCGTGAGCCCGTTCTCGAAAGCTTTTCCCAAAGACTGAGGTTTTTTCGTGGATGTAATTTATGTCTTGGGTGAGTAACGGCTTTTCACGAACTTTCGCCAGTCTTCTCGCGTTTCTTTCTTCGCTGCAGCTTTGTGTGTGTGGGCGGGAAGAAATGTGGCTGGATATGGTGCGGACGAGCTGCCCTCGAGTCGGAAAAGTTTCGCTGGACCGTGTGCGCTCTTCATTGCACGTTGTGAGAATGCGCGATTTTGCGCCTGGAAATGTGCGAGCCGACAACATTAGCAGCGTGACATTTTCTCACGAGTGTTGCATTCAGGTAGTTGCTTAGGCAGCTGAGACGCGGTGTTTGCAATTGGCGCGCAAGTGCATTTGTCGTGTTTGCTTTTAATAGTGTCGCTTGGACGCTGCGCCTGAATTTACGAGCCAGTGAATGAGTGTGTGTATTCGCTAATCAAATAGCCCCTGGCTAACGACGGAGGAATTACCGCTGCTGCGCGTTTTAACCCAGCGGCTGTTCGTGCAAGGTCGGTTGGTGTAGAAGCAGCGCGCAACGAGAGATCAGGTTTCTCTTCATTTCTATGTGTTTGTCAACACCATTACTATTTTTTTCTCTCCTAATCAATAATTAGCGTTGTGAGTACTGTAGGTGTGGGACATGGGCAACGTTGTAGTGACGTTGACCACGTGAACGGGCTAGGCAGCTGTTTTGAAGGAGGTCGGGGCGCCCGGTTAGTTGTTAAAGAGCTAGAGCCGAGCACGAAGGGGACCTAGCGAAATTGAACACGTATGTGTGCGGTGTTGGCGGCAGCTTCAAACAGTTGTTGTGGTAGGAGAGTTAACGGAGGCGGCTGGATAGCAGTATTAGGGTTGAAGGTAGGCCTGTCGGGCACTCGGTCCGATGGTCGGGCGGGCGATGGCTACGGACGCTAGTAAAACCGCGAGCGAGAGTGAGCTGGTGCAGTGCGAAAAATGCAAGCGCTGGGGCTACTTAGATGAGACAGCATTCACGAGTTTGGCCGATGCGCAGAAGGCGAGTGTCGTGTAGAGGCTGTGCGAGGCACTGAAGGCGGCCGTGCAGCGCATGGGACTTCAGGGGACGCTTAGGGCGGAACGGGAGCAGAGGATAGAACTCCAAAAACAGCTCCGAGCGTCGCGTGAGCGGGAGGAGACTACCGCCAGCCTATTAGAGCAAATAAAGGGCGACCTTCGAAAAGAACGGGAAGGACGGACCGAGCTAGAGCAGCGGGTAAAGGAGCTAATGGCACTTTGCCCCAGCCCTGAGCGGTGTGAGACGGAAGGCGTAGGTAGCTGTAGAAGGTGACTGGCGGGAAGGAACAGGCGAGAAGGGAGGTCAGGGGGCCGCAGTATCTGGCCACAGCATGGAGGCTCCGAGAACATACAGCTTGGTGGCGCAGCAGTCTTCAAGCAGGGCAGAAACACAGGACAGACGGCAGAGAGAGAAATAGGTGAAGCAAACAGGGGCGCCATCACAAACAGGAAGCCAGCGATTGGAGCCTAAAAGGGTCCTAGTGGTGGGGTACTCTAACGTGGCCAGGGTTAGGGATGGCATCTTCAAGACAGTAAAGGAAGTTGGGAGAGTCAGGGTGGAGACACAGTTAGGGAAGAGCATGGTGGATGCACTGGCCAAAGCTCAGGAGGTTGTAGAAAACAGCATAGAGGGCGAAAATCTAGTCGTTCATGCTGGGCTCAATGATTCGTTGAAGGGCAAGGATCAGAACCTTCAGAGAAAGTTAGAGGATGGGATGCGTAAGCTCCGAGAAGCCTCTGGGAGTGTGCATGTGACCATATGGACAGTCCCAGAGGTCTGGGGACAGCCTCGTGGGATTGAAAGGAGGGTAGTGGAGGCCAATTGTGTGATGAAGGGTTTGAGCCAGCAACTCGAATACAGCGTAATGGAAGTTAACCAAGACATGTACGAGCCCGGCGCTCACCCCTTTACTCAGGGTGGCATTCACTACAGTGGTGCGACGGGCAGGAGGGTCGGTAACAGAATGGGTCGCCAAGCCATAGCTTTTTTAGGGGGACCCAGAGCCCTGAGGCCAACAGTGTAGCCAAAGACGGAGCTAAAGGGGCACAAATATTCAAGCCACACGAAGTCCGTGGGAGAAGAAATCGACGTAAGCACAAGGGCTGAGCTAAGCCAGACGTAGGCTATATTAACATGCAGGGTGGCAGGAATAGGTTAAAGTGGGAAGAGATAGAAGAGCAGTTGAGGCAGGAGGAGCTGATGGTATATGAAGTTGTGGAGACACTTCTTCGGGACATGGAGCAACCACCCTGCAATCCGGACTACATATGGAAATATTGCAATAGAACAGAAGGCAGCAAAAAGGGGGGTGGAATTGGTGCATTTATACATAAGAGCATGGGTTGGCAAAAAGTCAAGCAGGGATCCTTGGAACATTTATGGTTAAGAGGGAAAGTAGCTGGGCAGATGACACTCATTGGTTTTGTGTATTTGTGGACGGGAGCAAAGGCCAGAGAGGAAAACCAGGCAATGGTGAAGTGTATATCAAAGGACATTGAGGAATTAGAAGGAGAGTGCGAGATAATTATACTAGGAGATATGAATGTGCACATAGAAGATATAGATGGGTATACTGGCTCAACAGGCAAAATGATCATGGATATGTGTTAAAGATATGAATTGAACGTTTGCAACAGTACCGAGAAGTGTGAAGGGCAAATAACATGGGAGGTAGGAAGGCTGCAGTCAACGATAGATTACGCGCTGATGTCACATAGGATGCATGATAAGCTCTGGGGAATGCACATTGATGAAGGTGGCTCAAGAAGTCTGGGTAGTGATCACAAACGTATTAAGCTTAGTTTTGGTAGAGCAGCGAAAGTGGGAAGGAGACAAGATGAGCAACTACAGGAAAATTTTCATTCAGAAAGGCAAATAGAAATTGCTACTAAACAAATTGAGAAAGTAATCACTCAGGATAATAAAACTGTGTGGACATATACAAATCTAATTAGACTGTTTGGGCTAGAGCTTGCTGGGGCATGTGACAAGTCACCCCGGAAAAGAAGACACAAGCGTAAGAGTTGGTGGGATGAGGAAGCTAAGAGAGCCATAGCAAAACGTCAGGAAGCCTCTAGGGAACACAGACATGCTAAGCAACGAGGTGAACCGACGGATGATGTTGAAAGAAAATGGGAAATCTTTCTAAGCTCTAGAAGGGAAGCATCTCTCCTGATCAATGAAAAAATTAGAAGGGTGCTCAGTGGCTGGCAGAAGTACATAAAAAGGACAGACAGGCAGCTGCGAAATTTTGGAACCATCTAAACTCCCTAAGAAATGAAACAAACCTAGAGCAGAAGTTTATAACTACAGCTCAAGGTGCTAGGCTAGAAGGGGACGAAGCTATTGAATATACAAGAACAAGGGTGACAGAAAAATTTCAACAAAGAAGTGCCTTATGCACCACAATAGACAGGGATGGATCAAGTGGCACAATGGCTCCATTTTCATGAGAGTGGGAAAGGGCTGAGAAGAGGGTTCCAAGTAGTACATCAACAGGCCCAGATGGCATTCCAATTATGCTGATAAAGACATTGGGTCCTGAAGCCTAAACAGACTTTGTGAGAGGCAGCGAGCAGAACGATAATCGATGGTGAAGTCCCTGATGGATGAAAACTTAGCAGGATGAGCATGATCTATAAAGGAAAGGGGACAAAAATTACATAAACAACTACTGTCCTCGAACAGTGACGTCAGTGGTCTGCAGGCTGGCGATGCAGATTATAAAGGAAAGACTGCAGCCTTGGTTAGAGGATGAGGGGGTGCTGGGGGAACTGCAGAATGGGTTTCGGAAACACAGGAGGTTGGAAGACAATCTGTTCTCACTGACGCAGTGCATCGAAATAGCAGAAAAGGAACTCGGGCCCCTGTGGCTAGCATTTTTGGATATCAAGGGAGCGTACGATAGCGTGGTTCAAGAAGACTTGTGGGGAATACTAGACACACTGGGTGTGGAAGATGAAGTCACTAATCTTTTAAAGGAAATATATAAAAGTAACAAGGTAGTTATAAAGTGGGAAAAACAGGTATCCAAGCCCACAGAGATGAAACGGGGACTTAGGCAGGGGTGTCCACTGTCACCCTTGTTATTCATGATGTACCTACAAGGATTAGAGGCCAAATTAGAGGGAAGTGGACTTGGCTTCGACCTCTCTTTAGTCAAACAAGGAAGACTCATTGATCAGGCACTACCAGCATTAATGTACGCAGATGATACAGTGCTAATGGCCGACAACAAGGAAGATTTGCAGAGATTGATGGACATCTGCGGTAATGAGGGAGATAGGTTAGATTTTAGATTCAGTTAGGAAAAATCGGCAGTCATGATTTTTAATGATAATGAAGGTAGTGAGCTTAGAATACAGGAGGTCACGCTAGAGATAACAGATAAATACAAATAACTGGGCGTATGGATAAGCAATGGGACCGAGTACCTAAGGGAACACGAAATATACGTGACTAAAGGTAATTGGAATGCAGCAGTGATGAAAAATAGGGCACTGTGGAATTAAAATAAGTATGATGTTGTGAGAGCAACATGGAAAGGGGTCATGGTTCCTGTGCTGATGTTCGGCAATGCGGTCTTGTGCGTGAGATCAGAAGTTCAAGCAAGATTAGTAGTTAAGCAACGTGGAATAGGTAGGCTTGCTTTAGGAGCTCACGGGAATACGCCAAATAAAGGAGTACAAGGTGATATATAGAATGGACATCATTTGAGGGCAGGGAAGCTAGCAGCAAGATAAAATTTGAGAAGCGATTGAGAGAAATGGGGTAGGAGCATTGGGCTAGGAAGGTTTTCAGCTACTTGTACATGAAGAATGTCGATACAAAATGGAGGAAGCGAACCAGAAAATTGACTGGTAAATACTTAGAAAACAGCAGGTGGCCAAACCAAATAGAACTATCGGTTAAGAAGAAAGTGAAGGAAACGGAGACTGACATGTGGAGAATTGGCATGATTAAGAAGTCTGCACTAGAGATCTATCGAACTTTTAAGCAGGAAATTGCCAAGGAAAGGATCTATGATAATACTCGGGGTAGTTCTCTACTATTTAAGGCCAGGACGGGAGTACTGCGAACCAAGACATATTGGGCCAAATACGAAGGGGTTGGCACGGTATGCAGTGCTTGTGGAGAGGAAGAAGAAACTGCCGAACACTTGATAATGTTCTGTTAAGGGATGCAACCTAAATTTCAGGATGATGGCGCAGAGTTTTTCAAAGCACTGGGGTTTAGGTACAGGGAGGGCAAAATAGACTTTAAGCGGGTAGACTTAACTAGAAAGATGTTATCTGATTGGTGGCTAAAGTCAAGGCACGAGTGAAAATTAAACCCTTCACTGCAAAGTACGAATCCTCAACCTCACTATTTAAAAGGAAAAAAAAAGATAAATGTGATGGTTAGTTCACTAAGTATTACGGCTAGGTGGCGTTAGACGCCGCCCGATCTACAGGGTACAGCCACATCCATCCATATTGTGGTACGTGTTTTATGTTCATGCTTGCCGTTGTTTTACGAGAAGCTGTTGTATCGTGTGTTTGGAAGCCTGGCAGAATTGAAGGCGCGGTTACGCTTTTACGAAGTGCTCTGTGGTTTGTTGCTCAATGCGCGTATGTATGTACGAAAGTGTTGTAGGTCAAAACGAAAATTTAATTTGTTAGGTTTAACCATGGATTTACGTGCAGAAACTACGATCTCGTGGAGGCGCCTGTAGCGATTACTTCACACTGTTGTCAGATAACTGTCACAGCTGTTAATGGAGTGTTGCTGGTGCTGCTTTTTAAGTTATTAACATTAATCGGGTGTTTGCGCATTTGTGTACATACGCTGAAGTAGAATACATATGTTAGCAAGGTCATTGTGTTCAAATCATTGCTTTACCCTCAGCTATGTCAGTAGGCTACTTGTGTATATCTGACTGGCATGCTCGCGACCTTTGTTTTGTAATGTAACTTCATTGTACGATATTGTCCAGTGTCTCACAAAATATGTCCGATGCCCTTTCAGTAATTCCCGTGTAGCTTGGTTAAACTCAAGTATCAGAGGAGTAAACTTTGATTTATTATTATTATATTGCACCACTTAATACTTTATTAAAGCAGTTTATTCACTTCTCTGGCCTCCTTAGAAAAAGTCATGTTGAGATACCTTGCAGGAATAGAACAACCTTATAAACAACTTTATTTTCCATAGTGTTTCCATAGTTTGTATTTCAGATTCTTTTCGTAACAGGTTTGTGCACGAAATGCCATCCAAATATTGCTGTGCAGGTCCGTAATCAGAATTGAATCATATGGCGGCTTTGGGATGTTAAACCCCACATAACAACAATCAGGATCTTTTTTTTTTTTGTGGTGTGGAGCGGTTTGCCCAATTGCTGAAAATCTTGACTATTTTAGAAGAACACATATTGATTACTTATTTTTCGTAAAACAATCCCCTCCATCTAAATTTGAAAGAGAAGGGGGCCCTAGTGTCTCCCCCCCTGGCTATGGGACTGTTGCACTGATTGAAAAAATAGTGCCCGAGTGATACAGGTGGTGATGTGGGTACAGCCAGGCCAACTTTGTAAACGATACTTGTACGTACTTTAATGTACTTGTACTGTATTATTAGGTGCATTTAAGCCAATTTCAAGCATATCAATGAAGCCGATTTCTGCTCCCCTGCAACCAGTTTCTTGAAAACTTTGGAAAACGGTAACATACTGGAACTGGTACTGTATAACAGGAGAAACAAAGAAAAGCTGAAATAAGGAAGCCAGCACCGACCTCCAGCTGTCTCTTCAGCTGATTGCATGTAAATTATAGTCGCACACCAAAAGAATCAGTGCCATTCAAACTTAAAAAATAAACTGGGGAAATATAGCATGACTTTTGCATGGCATTGCTTGAGGCTTTCGTGTATATTTAATCCAAATGCTAAAAGCATGTGGGAGTTTGGTGCTCTTTCTTTCCTTTTGGTCCGATTGGCTGTTTCTTCTTTTTCACTGTTGTGTTGCGCAAACAAACTGACTCAATCCTCAACAAGGAGGGAGAGCTATAACGGTTACGTTTAATTGAGATAAATTTGGAGCGGTTGGTAGGAAGTTCTGTGATTCATGTGAGAACGTTGGGGTGGAGGTTCAGCTGAGCAAGTTTTAGTAGTAGGCGTTTATGGGTAACTCTATCGAATCATTTTGCAAAGTTGAGAAAAATTGCATCTGCGTGAAAGGAATGGTAGAGGTTGGAATGTGGATCATGAACAAATAGTATTGCAAGTATGGTTTCACAAGATAATGATATATGAAATTTGTAATGAAAGAAAAAATTATTACCAAGGAAGTGCATCACATGAGAGTAAATCACATGTTTCATAATGTTGCATGGAGGCAATTGTTAGAGAAGTGGGTTAATAATTTAAGGGAGATAACTTGTTACCTGATTTGGGAACTGGAATGACCTTTCCCTCCTTCCAGCCTGGAAAAATTTGTTTCGAGTGCATAGATCGAGAAGAGCATAGATTGTTTATTTAGAATGTTTTAACAGTTCAGAATCAGCATCATCTATTTTTGCTGATGATGAGAGTTTTATTTGATCAATCAGTGATGAAATGCCAGAGATAGAAAAGGAAAAAAGGTGCTATCATTTCAGATGTCGTAGAAGGTAAATTAGGAAGAGGTAAGGCAGCTTATTTTGTGAACACAGATGAGAACGTGTTTCTGAAAATATTGGCACAACACACACCACTTACAGCTTTATCTTTGTCGTTTCTGAATGTGATGTTTGTGTAAACTGTGGTTTTATGACTGCCCAGAATTTTTTAGGGTTAGTTTTCAGGATTTTAGATAAGTCAGTATGACAGAATGCCTGCTTAGCTTTTCTAATTGCATGTAATAAGTGTCTTATGCAAATTTTCGTGGTCATCACAAAAAATATTAAAGTTTGGCTAGCCAGCCAGTGTCTGTGTCTGAAATGTCATCAGTGAGCCATGTTTCTGTTAGTATCAGTACACTACTGCTGGATGATTGTATTGGATTAGACTGGAGCACTCAGAAGAAATTCACGTATATTAGTTTTAAGGGCAGAAAATGAAAGAGTTCGCCATCCACTTTTTCGAGGCTAATGGTGTGTTTGCTGACAGGTGATATGATTGCTATGATACGGCTTTGACATTTCCTGGCGCACTGTAAAAGGTATGTTGCTGGACTCCGACATGCAAGGTTCTGAAGGGTAAAGACAATCCTATGAATTTGCTTTTAGCATATGTAACTAGGTGCTTTCGTGCAGCTAAAACGCGACGTGTGAAGTCTTCACCAATGCAACTTTTTGTGCCTTTTAATTTGGGCCATTTTAAAGGATCGATTCTGTAGCTTTGAAGGATGAATGCTTGATTCTAATGGGTTGCTTATGGTTATTGCCGTAGCACCCTAGTCGATGCGCACTCTATATCTACAGGCTCGACTCTAAGATCAAATCTTACAAAACGGTGTTAAATGGTTATTTCTTCTGTTTAAGCATGTTTACTTCTGCTTACTGTCGGTAAAATTGTTGAGTATTAAGTTGTTGCGCTGGGTACGGTTTTTGAGGTTGTCAAGGTTTGTCATCAATGCCACACATACGATAACTTAGATGACTGTTCTTAAAAAGTTAAGGGCATCTACTTCTGTTCAGAGAACTAAAGGATTTTGGCATTGACTTCGATGTCTGCGAGATGGGTGCTTAGATTAGCAGTTGTGTTGTTTATGCTTGATTGCTGGGCTTTGCAATTCCATATCTCAGATAGTAAGAGAGTGAGAGAGAACATTCTTGTGGTCCAAAGTTGCAGAAGCTGCACAGCAGAAACGCTGTTCAAAGTGACGTGGACACACCATCAGCATTTCATGTAGACGCAGACTTCGCTTAACCTTTGAGGTGCACATAAAAGGCGCTACTCTCTCACTCATTCAAAAATGCAAAGTCACAACAGATAAATTAAAAGAAATATGAATATCTTGCAGGTGTCAGCTGTGGCCTGTATTAAATAGCTCCACGTAGAAAATAAAAAAAGGAACATTTATATTTCACCTTCAATATACGGGCGCTACTTTTGAACTACCATCACTGGCGGTAGGATGTACGTGATTTGGCTCTGTAGCTTTCCCTTCAGTGCCAAGAAAAGTTGTTGCTGAGTGTAGTGGTCTGCATAGTGGCACTGCCGTAAAGCCTACAGTGCGTGGAGGACAGTAATTGCTACTTTATAGGGTGTGCATAAAATGTTGACAGTTAGAGCAGCTGAGTTGGTTTCAATGATCTGCAGTGGGGGGTAGAGATGCTTTGGAATGCCCTGAAGCTTGGCCGACAGGGGGAAGAGAAACACTAGGTTCACTTTTCATTGGCTGCGTACACGAAGTTTACATTTCTTGGGTATTTGTTGTCAAGTTTTGTAGTCTTCAGTCGAGGCCGACGTCTAAAAATTTCCCTGGCAGGTGTTGTTCCCCTTGGATGGCATCTCTCGCATCCAATGACCTACGGTTGGATTTCTTTTTCACGCAGAATAGTCGCAAGGATGCTGGTGGCCTCGGTACCGCTCAGCAGAGGCTCCATACGTCGGAACAGCCCCCATGCTATCCAGGTATCACTCTATGCTGCCACTTCTTTATACCAAACGACAGCAAATGTTAGACAGTTTGGTCGAGGAGGTATCGTGTGTAGGCCGCCAGACCAGGCTTGTGATGCTGACTTGCTCAGACGGACCACGCTCCTGAGAACTGTGGTGAGTGCATTATCCCAGCTCGCCTCGCTTCCACCAAGGGAATAATTGAAAGAAGTGTCGATGCAAGTCTAACTCTTCGGAAAACACTAGAGAAGCTATTGGCAGCTGGCGTTATGGCAGTTTACCACTGTAATAGAATAGTTGACGATACCAGGGTGCCTATTGAGTCAGTCATCGCCACTTTTGTGTGTACTACATGCTCTACATTAAGATATGGCCACTGGTATTAAGAGTAGATCAGCAAGCACGGCGTCCACTTCAGGGTTATAATTGCTGGCAATTTAGTCACAATGTAGGTGGGTGTAAATCAGGCCAATGCTGCTGCAAATGTGGGGAAGACCATGCTTAAAAAGACTGCACTTCACAAGAAGAACGATGTAGTTTGTGTGGTGGAGATAGTGCTACTGATTATCCCAACTGTTCAGCTCGTGCCACAATTTCTTAGAAGTCTACGTAAAAGTAAAAGACAGGTCATTAAGTAAGTACAAAAACCCTACTTATAGGCAGCAGTACGTTCACTTCAATAGTTCTCACTCTCGTCAATGCAAGACTAGCATCTCATACTTGCAGGCCCATCTATTCAGGAGAATTCGTTCCTGCACCAAAGGCTTAGAGATGAATGCAGGGACTTGGTGCAACATACTTTCAAGGCAACACATCCTCCTTCCCTAGTCAACAATGCCATATATGAAGCGGGAAGCCTAGATCACCAGCAGAAAGAATTCACAGTGATGTTACCGAAGTCTGCTGATATGCAGCAATTTTAGATGCAACAAAATTAGCATTTTGAAGCACTTTGTAGCAGCTAAAATTTCCACTTTGGAGCACACTTGAGCAGTAAAATTTTTCATTTTGGAGCTATCCAGAGCATCTAATTTCGCGTCCTGGAAGAGAAGCAAGTTGCATTTACATTCAAGGACATAATTATTTTGGGGCTCTTGTGAAGAGCTAGAAATATTTTGAATCATTGCAAACCTCGTGGAGCCAGACATCTTGAGTGCAGGATCACTCCGTATATCAGTTGATGATGCAAAAATATTATTTTTATAGAAAATAAATAGAATACTGGTTGAATGAAATAGTACTTCATGAAATAATAATCTAAATACACCCATGTGGTTATCAGCAGATTTGGTAGACAAACACTGTTGTCTACAATGCTAGAGACTTGCACAGTCTCAACTGCATATCTCTAAGATGGATTCAACCATAAAATAATGTTCTTTTTCCTTACAACCGATTATATATATTGCTGGGCCTAACATGATGTCATTTAGCTGGTCTCATAAAGCCAACCTCCTCCAATACTCGCCACTGTCCTGAAACTACATGACTGAACAAACTTAGTTTTCCTTTTGCAATAATGTTTCATGTGGCTAGGGTGTGCTTTCTATACACCAAAAACCCCCTGTAATGTCCTCTAGAAAGCAGTGCAAAAAGAAAAAAAAAAAAAAACCTCAAGGGGTATTTTATGCATTCGCTTAAAACTACTCGAAGGCTAGAGCCATGTTGTTTTTATGGTGATAGCAACTATGTGGACATTCTCTACTGGTTTTTGCCGTCGCCAGGCATGTAGGCATAAATATTTCTTGCTTTTTTGGGGGGAGGGACACCTTAATTGGAAGGGGGGGTAGCAAATGGTCATTTTGTGCTATATATGCCATGGCAAAAGAAAACGGGGTGGGGGAACTTTCCCTATGTGCCCTCCCCCTTGGCTACATCACTGGCCATCACCGTCATGTTTTTTGTACTGTACAAATTGATAACATCTCCATCCTGCGCATCGTGTTTTACACTTGAGTAAAAGCGCGTGAGCGGGGGCGACGAGCACTGCTAGAGCAGAGATAAAGAGAGCCGACCTATCTCTTTGCATGGAGGATGGATTTGATAACATCACCCCACGTGTCAAGTCTGCCATCCATTGTTACTCAAGCAGAAAGAACTGTGCCACCGGTGTCAAAGGGACAAGAAGGATGGAGCTACGAATGCAAGGGGGGGGGGCGTTGTCGTGAACTTTGACATTAGGGGGTGATCGCTGGCGCACGTGTTATTTACGGTTGGTATACCCTTCTACCTTGTACTCTCAACGCGAACAGATTGTGCAAAAAGTGCTTCGCTTTCTAGAGCGGCACTGAGTCTTGACGCAAGGTGACCACACCATAGTCGCGCCATTTTGGAGGGCTATTCGTACGCTCCATTCACCCTTCATACAATCGCACTTATCTAGAGCAGTGGAGTGCGCGCCTGTCAGCACTGTTGTGGGCCGCGGCTTCTATCTCACGTTAGTTACAAGCTTCCGTTCATGCTTACATAATAGCACAAGGACTTGACACGCAGTGGAACCATGTTTGGTATCATTATGGCGCCTCTCTTCACATATTGCTGAAAAAAAAGAAGAAAGCAGCAGCTGGAGCAGCCGGCTGGGCGCTCTAACCAGGTCCGATTCTACCTGTATGTGCATCGGCGCGCAAGAGGTGTTCTGGGAATCTTTGTCTAGTCATCTAAATCGCTGTAGGGATATTCAACACCGCGCATGTAGCAAGTTTTCTGGGCATGCTGCGAGCGCGCGGACCTCCGAATCGGCAACCCCGTAGCTAGTGCTCTTTGCGGATGACATCTAGCTTTATTATTTGGTATAACAAAAGAATTTGTTGCGTCGCATTCATTGCTAAGAGTTTAAATGAAACTGACATAATTGTATCTTTCGGACCCAATGTCACATAATTCAACACAACGCTGGCTAAAGGGGCAATTACCACTGCAGTTGCCAAAGCAATTTTTGTGCTGTCAGGTGTATAAATGCGAAGCAAAAGTTAGTAGCACAGAAAGTTTACGAGCAGTCTCATTATGCCTTGAGATATAACGGGCGTCAGCGATTGCGCCCTTTGAGCGACGCAGCCTCCCCCACCCCTGAAAAAAGAAAGAAAAAAGAAAGCAATGAATACGATGCCGTGATGCTCACTTTTTTTTTTAGCAGTCGGGTACTGACCCTGAAAAGTGAGGGGTGTACGTGTAACAAGGTGTAGCTGCTTCACAGTGGCCCTTCCGACAAGAGCTGCCAGCGATGGCCCTACTATGGATAGCTGCACGTGTTAAAACCGAATTGCGGCTGCTTCTATCATGAGGCATGCTTTAAATAATTAGGTGACATTAAAAAAAAACGCGCGAAAATTTTTTATTTGGCCCCTAGCAATCACTAGTTCGAAAGGCAGGGCCTTTTGGAGGCTTATACCGCAACAATGATTACAGACGTGGATGTGTGGTGGAAGGCATTACGAAAAAGCTCTGATGAATGAATATCCAAGAAAAAGTATATTGGAGGCAAAGTGTCTATGCATTCCAGTGTTCGCATGTTCGTCTGTGAACGGGAAGAGCAGAAAGTTAGATCACGATGTCCAGATGTAGACGTGACAGACATTCTGGTGGCACGCGTGAAGTTATCAGTTGAAGTCACTTCAACAAATGGATAGCGAAACCGCGCGTCGTCTGCTATGGTACTACCAGTTTGAAGCCTATCATCCCTCCGCTGCTTCAATGTGCCTGCTACGCAGTGTAACCTGGGAGAACACACGTGAAATTTTGTGATGTGTTTCTTTACGCTTGTTCAGTGTTGGTGTTCAATTCTTTTTGCGAATGAATAAACTATGTTTTTGCGCATTTCAGATTACAAAGCGAGAAGGGGAAATGGGCCAACAAAAAGAACGGTAAGAGGTGCTTTTAGAGTGTGACATGTGGTTATGATTTGAAACTCGCAGTAATTTTGTGCAAAGCCATCTCGATTCAGTATTTTCGAGCACAAATGATGACCACTTCAAAATCACTCACACATATGGGCACAAGCTGCCAAATGTCAACATACGTACGATGATAACATAAGTACGTGCACTGTGCTCAAGTACGGCGATCCGTGTATTTGCATTGCATATCTTGCATCGTCAAGTGTCTGTCAAATTTACAAAAACGGCTTAGCGCGTGAAAGTGATTGAAGTCGCTTTTGAAGCATCGAGTAGCATGGTGTGGCGTCTGTATTATGTTAGACTTGCAAGCCTGAAGTGCTGATATGCGGTGTTCTGTATGCTGGGTGTGGAGAATTTGGCATGTACCAGTGTGTGAGGGAACGATATTTCACGTAAAGGGAAAGGCGTAAAGAAGGCAGAAAACTACGAACAGGTATTTCTTCTTTTAGAGTAAGAAACAGTTTACTATTGCCATTCACTATATTGAATTCAGTATGGTATCTTTGCAGCAAAAAAGTGAATAATTTTACAGGCGAGCAACATGAAAACAAATGGGCGCATATTTCTTCATGCTATGACATGCAGAAAAATATTCGTATATGACAAAAACATGCCGATGACACCTTTTGTTGCAAAACAACAAGCATGTGTCTGGAGGTCAATTCCCCTTGAATTAAGAGATGACTACTTGCACGATTATTACGATCTCTCAGTGACTGCATATGTTATTCAACTAAGCTTCATTGTGCTCCAAGGTATTATGTAGCAATTTGTGATAAAATTAGCGACACCGCAAGTGCTGGGTGGAACACACAGAAAGCGACGGCACTAGCAAGAATGCCCATATGGCACCATGATATGTGAAACCAGTAGTCGATGCAGACGGGCGCTGTAGCCCACAATCCTTTGCGTGAGCCACGAGATTGCTATCAACTTATTACGGGCCGTGCAGCTCTACAAACGAGCTATCAGCATGTTCCTGGACCAGGCTCTGCCGCTGATGAATTACCGCCACGGTTGGACCAGATGAAACACTACCAGTTGGGCTAGACGTCACGAGCACCTGCGGAGAGCGCATTTCGCCGTTAGGCGGACTTGCACAACAGAAGTTGCGTCAGCACCAAACAACATTGTAGGATGCACGTGTGATCGCTGTTTATTCAGCAAAATAATTCTAGGTACGTTATTGTGGCTTTGGTGGCTCCGAGAAAAAGGTGCACGTGTTTTGACACGCCGGCCTAGCTATTGCCAGTGATAGACACTTTCAAATTTGACTTTGGCGCAGTTGGGGGCACAATTTCCATTGATATTATCAGGATGGCACAGTAAATATGATTTGATGCACTCTGGCGCAGTTGGCGTAAGAGGTATAACTGGCAATGCAAGAATCCATCCTGCCAGAGAGAGTCATCGAAGAGCCCTCCTAACACGATCCGCGTCCTGAAGAAACACGAGAGGTGTCCATGTGCGCCACATGGAACGCGCATCGGCGTCAGACTAGAAGTGCGGGAACGGATAGGAGGATATAAAAAGCGCGTCGCGTGTGCACGCATAGCTCTCTCTCTGGCCTTCGTTTTGGCCTGTCGTCTGTGATGTAAAGGCGCATTTGCGTGCCTTGTTTGGTCCCACCTGTAAATATGTAAACAAACCGTGTGTTCTTCTATGTAAGGAGCCTCAGTAAGAGTTCTTCCTTTCCCGGCATCTGGGTGAAAGCCTGAGCCCGACTCCTCAGTCACGTCAAGTGGGATTGCTGCACGTGTTTTGACACGCCAGTGTGACTGTTGCTGGTGATAGGCGCTCCCAAATCTGACTTTTGCGCAGTTTGTCACAATTTCGTTGATATTATCAGGATGGCACAGTAAATCTGATTTCGCGCAGTTGGCGCAGGAGTGGGATCACTGAATTCAAATAGTAGGGATGGAAAAACTTGGAGCTGACATTTGAATCCTCTGGCGTAAACAAAATTCTAGCGACACCTAAATATCTCAAAACAGAGTGAACGATTATCAAGAATTTTTCCTTCCTCGTTGCAAGTTGTATATAGGCGCACCCCAAATCATTAGCAATTATTTTGTGCGTTTGAAAACTGACAAGACACCTACTATAACAAAATGTGATCCATGTGGCAAGGCTTGCTGCAAGGTGTACGAACACATACAGGTAGCCAACGTCACTGAAAACACAGATTTTAATTTTAAGAACATTCGGCAAATCCCAAGTACCTTCAGAATCAATGTTATGCAAAGCATGCGAATGAAAGGTGACTGTGTTGTAATTTTTTTATTGAGCAAAATGCGATGAAGTGGCGCTGAAGATATGTACAAGTGCATGCACAAACATACGTTAAACACCCACATATGTTTTATATAACCAGTTGTTTACAGTTGTGTTATAATCACAACAGCAACATGGATATTAGTAACAACTGAAGCAGTAAGCTGGAGCGCTGTTGCTCTCGAGGATGGTAGCCTTGGACACTGCTACATAAATTAGCTTCAGCGAATGACACCCATATATAACTCGTGTTTGCGCGACGTGATGGCTGTATCATAGGAGTACATATGTAATGTTTATAAAATTTGGTAGCCTACACTCGAACCACCATTGACATTTCACAAACATTAGGGTCTAACAGTAGAACCTCGTTCGTACCATTTTGAGAAAAAAAAAATATGTTGAAAATAAACGTACGATCCGAAAATACATACCATCCGACTCCAGCAAAAAGTCCAGCTGACAAGTACATATAGGGGTGTAACAGCCAAAAACATCAATTATTTCTTAAAAAACATTGTAATTTTCTGCTGCTGCCTCTCACCTTTCGACAAGAAAAGCTCCTTCGTTACACTTGGTAGACCCTTGTCTGTATTTTCATTGTTTTTTTCTGCAAAAGAAGCTTCGTAGGGCTTCCAGTCCAGCAAGGGCTTCGATGAACTTAGCCGGTCAGCACACGCTTTTGTTTTCGCCGCTGTCTTCCGGTGCCTCGTCCCCCACCTCCTTTGCTGCGTTGCCCCCTACCACCGTCGAGGCAATCTCGGCGACACTTTGCGGCTCGCAAGTCAGGACGTCATCTATTAAGAACTCGGCGAAGGGTGCATCAGCATTGGGGGTGAGGAACTCCACATCAATGCAGTCTTCGTTCGATGTAAGACGCGCACGTGGTCGTCATCGCAGCGCTCTGTCCTCTAATGCAAGCTGCTGCCAAAAACCGCATTTCCTGAAACAGCTGCTCCTTAAGAACGTTGCCATCAAAGTTAACTCCGGAAGCCCATGCTTGCTTGAACCACTTCAGTAACGCCTCCTTCAGCTTCCCAAGGCGGGTTCAATGGGCTTGCTTTGTTGTGCCGCCGAATATCAAGGTGTTCATCTCGATCTCTTTCCGCTTCGACACCATGGTATCCACAGTGGACGCGGGCATTCCAAATTTGTTCATTCTATCGATTCGCTTCTTCTTAAGCAACATAGGCTAGCATTTCTTCGACGCCATGCTAGACACTACTGTCTCGAATCGCGAACTATGTACACTGGGCAACGTGCAGCCTCGCACAGGGCCCGGCCAGAGAAAACCTGGCGTGGCCTGCATATCACTAAACTGTTTGGCATCGGTGTCAGAGCGAAGAGAGAGAGAGAGAGAGAGAAACAACTTTATTGATGGCATAGCAAGGTCGGTAAACTTAATTTGCCGGTGGTTCGAAGGGTGGTAGCCAAAAGCTTGCCACGACTGTTTCGGCCTGGTTAACCACTTCTGTCTGAAGACGGTAGTCAGATGACGACAGGAGCGACTCCCACGCCTTGAGGGAGGAAGCTGGCTGTATTGTTCTTGGTGGGGGGTTACCCTCGCATTCCCAAAGAATGCGATTTTGGGTAGCTTTTACGCGGCTGCAATGTCGGCAGTTTGGTGTAATCTCTTCTGGATAAATTTTAGACAGCCGATGAGGGCTGGGCAAAGAATCTGTTCGGATTTGCCTCCAGATTGTGGCCTGTTCCCTTGACATATCTGCCTGCGGGGCCAGCGTATGTCTTGCGGTTCCCTCGGTGATACGCTGTAATTTCGTTATACGTGGTGATCCCTTCCTGTGGGAAGTCCAGGGCGGAGAGGGTCCACGTGCCGGTTGATTAAACCTCGGGCTACGTGGTGGGACGCCTCATTCCCTGGATTCTCCAGCATGAGCGCGCACCCATATAAGTTGTATTTTATTGTCCCGTTTCTTACTTTTGATAATGTTGGCCACTTTCAGCCCAACACAGCCCATCGTAAAATTCATGAGCGCTCTTTTCGAATCACTCAGGGTGGAATTGGTAGCCAGGAATTGAGGTGGCCAGCGCGATGGCGGCTTTTTCTGCTTCTAATGTTGAGGCCATTTTTACGGTGGCTGCAGTAATAAGTTCCCCACTGCCGGTTGCCGCACATATGGTGTAACGGTCTCTCGCTTGTCTAGCGGCGTCAACATACAGAACGTTTGGGTGATCTTGAAATTATTTCACGAGGTTTTCTGCTCTTGCGTTTCGTCTCTCATCATGTATTCCTGCCAGCATATTTTTGGGCAGGGGTTTAATTATAATGTCTGCACGAGTCGCCGCTGACAAGAAAACCTTGTTGTTGAGCATGCAACTAGTGCGTCGTCCGAGACGGTTGAGTATGTGCAAGCCTGCTTTGGTTCGTGAAAGCCTTTCTTCTTGGGCCGTCAAATGCCCTTCTATTAGTTTCTCCACTGTGTTGTGGATACCAAGGCGCAGTAGCTTTTCTGTGCTTGCATATTGGGGAAGTCCTAGGGTACGTTTATATGTTTGTCTAATTATGGAGTTTAGTTTTTCTAGATCATTCTTTCTGAGTTGGTAGTAGAGGAACGAGTAGATGACTCGACTGATTACAAAAGTGTAGATTAACTTGCATAGGTCGGATTCCTTCAATCCCTGATTTTTCGTTGCCACTCTCCTTAGAAGACTAGTCGTTTGCTGAACGAATG